CCTCTTGTAGCTTTGCGCGAAATTCAAAAACAAACAATCCTAATGATTAAGGTCTAATATTTATTAATCACACAATAAAGAAAAGTTAAGGTACATTTAATATTTATGTCTTGTTTGTTTGTTTGTTTCTTCTTCTCCGTTTTTATTACTAGTCGTGAAATTCATGTTGTAAAATTTGTATTTATAACATTAAATAATAAATACGTTTTTTTTATGTTTCAAATTATTATATTTCGTATTTTTTAGAAAACCACGGTTATATCGAGAAGAGGGCGCTGAGAGTCAGGAGAGATGACGCTTTGTATAATTACTTACAAACTGTCCTTGAGAATTTTCGTGCTATCATGAAGCAAGGGAGTTCTAACCCTAAAATACCTGTTCTCGATCCCTTGTCTGTTCGGCCACAGAATATTGATGAAAGTAAAGGCAGTACCAAAATTTCCGTCAAGCTGTGGGATATCTTGATCAGAGGGTTGTCAGATTTTCAGATTAAGCAGTTAAATGCCGATATTAATAAACTAAAATTACAAATAAAGCTTAACATTCCGAAACTTATCGCCACAGGAAAATACGAGTTAAACGGTAAAATCATCAACATTTTTCCACTCTCGGGAAACGGGAACGCTAGAATAGAAGCAAAGGACGTAGATGTGGAAGGAGAAGCAACCTTAGGTTTGTCTAGTGGGAAACTAAAGGTTTTACGTTTAGATCTACATCTCCAATTTCACTCAATTCTTGTGAATTTTGAAAACCTGCTAGGTGGTGGAAACTTTGGAGACCTCTTGAACCAACTGATCAGCTCGCTGGGACGGCCGTTGTTTGATAAATTTGGTCCTAAGTTGGTTAACGATCTTGAAGATGGGTTGAAAGAAAGCCTAAACAAAGAATTGGGAAAATTCTCTCTCTCCGATATTTTGGCTGGTAAAACTGGCTAATGAGGGGAAGGACATTGGCTGGTAAAACTGGCTAATGAGGGGAAAAGACAAGAGTGATTCTCGAAGAAAGATATTTTTTACGTTTTTGACATATTGACAATATCCACATTTTTATTTGAATAATTCCTTGTTAACTTTTGTGATGAAAATAAAGTACATATTCCAAACTACGTAACGAGTTTATCGGTTGTGGTTTATTTAAAATATTAATTTTAATCTTAAAACACTACCTTATCATATAAAAGTTATAATTCAGGATAAACGTCTCAAGACGCGTTCTGAAGTTACCCAGGACGATTATATCCAAGAAATCTCGTAAAGCTCCACCTAGTCTGCAACCATCGAACTGCAGGTTCTGGTAGTGTCAATAATCTAGTTAGTCTGCAACCATCGAACTGCAGGTTCTGGTAGTG